TATTATTATTATTATTATTATTATTATTATTATTATTATTATTATTATTATTATTATTATTATTATTATTATTTCTCCCTAAGGAAATTATTTACCTGTGTTTTTGCACTCAACAAGCTTCTACTGCTTGCAGGCAATCTGTAGCAGATTTACTAAGAAGTGCATAAATTCAATCGTTTTTGTTTATTTGCTTTTTCAGTCACATTTTTACTCCAGAGACGAACTACGTTTCACTTCTAGGGTTAAATCCAATCAGTCTGTGAGTTCTCCAATGACACCCATCCCCCCAGGGTGTTGCTTCCTCTTGCAGGAAGAAAGAAAAATGGGAGGTGGAGTGTGTTGCGCTCTCTCTCACACACACACAAACGCACACACAGATGCCCATATTTAGTTCATCCGGCTGTAGTGGGCCAGCGCAAAGGAAAACCCATGACGTGAGTGGGAGCCCTGCTTTCCTGAAGCCATTTAAAGTAACAACACCAGATTGCGTCAGTGCTTGCTGCTTCCTTCAGACCATATTTGGACAATGAAACTCACTCTGCTACATTATGGGGTGATCAGAAACCGCAGTGTGCCCGCTTCCCTTTTCAGTGCCAGAGCGGTCTACATGAAATATAACATAAATATGAGAAGTTTAAACCTTTAAAAATTACTGTATACTGTACCGGTTTAAAGATGTGCTACATAAGATTTTTGGGTCATGAAGGAAACGCGAAGACTTTGAATCTCGAGCTGCGTAATTCCTAAGGAATTTCTAGCATGCAGGTGATTGTTTTTTCTTGAGAATGCCTCTCACTAAAACATAAATTCTCGATAATGATAGGTCTGAACCCCTGAAACATGTTCTTACTTGGAAAAATAGACTTAGGCTGACACATTTTTGAAAGTTGACAACATTTTGGTTATTTCAGTTTAGTTTGAGGCCTTCAACAAAATCGTAAAAAAAGCTGAAGAGGCATTATTTATACACAGTGATTTATTTTTAGGAGATCAATTATAATTCCCCCAAAAGCTGTTTCACAGACACTTGTGGGACTTTCCCTTTATCTCTTTACAGAGTAAGCAAGTAAAAGTCCTGGAGATGATTGTCAAATGTTGCATTTGCATTAACTCTCAGTGTTAGTAAAACAGGTAATACATAGACTGAAAACCCTAAACAAATCTACCAAAGAGAAGCGAGAAAACTAGGAGAGGGAGAACGAGACAGAAAGTCCAGATTAGATGTAGACTTATCTGGACTAAACATCTACATCATCTAAAAGCTACACAAGTTTAAGAAAATCACCTATCAGATGAATTGTGAAGTGATTTGAGCTTTATTTTCTGCTCAGACTTTGAGCAGACTGTGTGTAAAAATGACTGCTGCTGCAATCATTTTTCTGGGCTCCCGCATTAAAGGTAGAGGTAAATTTTAACCTCGGTAAATTCAAAGTTGTTTCTGGTCCCCTGTGACAAAATGCTAGATAGCAGTTAAAGACTGCCCTCTCGTGGTTGTTTTATGGAAGTGACTCAAAATGTTGGCGTTTGCGGCCTATTAAAAAATTATAATATGTGCTCATAAAGAATTTACTCTCTAGGTCTGGAGATGGGGAAGAACTGATGAGAGTGCAGCATGGCCTTAGGGTGAAACTGAGGAAATCCAAAAACTCATACAAGAGGAAGCTGGGGGCTTAAAACAAGGGATGTCTTAAGTGGAATAAATAAAATCAGTGGGTTTAAGGTGACAGACAGCTAGAGGGCAGACTGGAGAGCACAGGTGGGTCACAATTACAACCTGAGTCTGAAGCAGGAGAAGATACTGGTGTTGTGGAAAAACATCCATTCTGGTTCCTGTACTGGAGTTGACACCATCAGAGGTTAATAACTATTGAGTAATTGTGTTCAAACCACAGGAGCTTCCTCACGGGAGATAAAAATACTAATCTCAGCCCACCGGAAATGAAAATATATCTTGTGCAGTTTGCATATCAACCAAAATTGAGGGTGGATGAAACAGTCACAGTAGTGCAAAAACTATTTTCCCATCTAGATAGTAATGGCTACACTGTGAGGATCACCTTCTTTGGTTCCTTAAATGCACCTAACACAATTCAGCTGCTACTACAAAAGAATCTACTGGAAAAATAAGCAAAGACATCCACCATCTTCTGGATTACTGACTACCTGACATATACAGTGGCTTGCAAAAGTATTCGGCCCCCTTGAACTTTCCCTCATTTTGTCACATTACAGCCACAAACATGAATCAATTTTATTGGAATTGCACGTGAAAGACCAATAAAAAGTGGTGTACACGTGAGAAGTGGAACAAAAATCATACATGATTCCAAACATTTTCTTTTTACAAATAAATAACTGCAAAGTGGTGTGTGTGTAATTATTCAGCCCACTTTGGTCTGAGTGCAGTCAGTTGCCCATAGACATTGCCTGATGAGTGCTAATGACTAAATAGAGTGCACCTGTGTGTAATCTAATGTCAGTACAAATACAGCTGCTCTGTGACGGCCTCAGAGGTTGTCTAAGAGAATACTGGGAGCAACAACACCATGAAGTCCAAAGAACACACCAGAGAGGTCAGGGATAAAGTTATTGAGAAATTTAAAGCAGGCTTAGGCTACAAAAAGATTTCCCAAGCCTTGAACATCCCACGGAGCACTGTTCAAGCGATCATTCAGAAATGGAAGGAGTATGGCACAACTGTAAAC